ATATCCGTGTTAGTTGTCATTTCATTAACTCGGTTATTGGGCTCGTTACGCCTGATATTCTACCTAACGGTCTACTCCCATAACACCGGTACAGGAAAAGATCCAGAACTTGAGTTAAGAGGTTCCATCAAGATCATGAGCACAACAGTCCTAACCAGTGGGGAAACTGTGGCGCTGCCGACCCCTCTGGTTGATACTTGGGCTATAACTGTTTACAATCCCTTTGACATGTGGAAGTAATTGCATACCTGCCCAAGTGCTAACTGTTACACCCTGTACAGGTTAAACCCTTGTTTCGTATCTGGCGAGATGTTCTTCTTCTTCCTAGGCTTTATTACCTTCGCTCATGCTTATATCAACCGAAGTGGGTGTAGATGAGCCTCGGGCTGTCGCTTGTTGTGTGGTTATAGCAGAACGTGTCCGCAGGAGACTCGAATGTTCTTTTAGAGTCGCAACCCAGCAGTCCCGTGATCCAATGGATCGGGTGCGCTCTTGGTGGTAGCGCTGTTGAGTTCTTTACATCTCTTCATCCACAAGTAACCAAGGCGACTTGATTCAGTACCAACAACACCTGTCAGATAGACAACGCCCTGTACAGCCAAGCGTGCATCTCTGTGACAGGACGGATAGTGCTATTGTATGATCAAAGCATGTTGATGTTGTCGATCAGCTCTCTGTAACGTAGATACGCTCTGGTGGGACTCTACGGTGGACTCCAATACATATCGCTTCAGCTCGCTTTCTCCCTCTCGGGCTCGCGCACGGAGAATTTCTTTAAGAAACTTGAGCTGGCTCTGATAGCCGGTGAGTACGAGATCTTGTGATGATAACGCTGATGCACATGTTTCTCGATTCCTATTGCCTTCATGTGTAGAGGAAGTTTCAATTTGTATGGTAAGCGTTCTACGCATTTGAATGTATCCAACGAAAGTCCCAAGACCATTGATGGTCTCGAGAATCATTTGAGCCGATCATTCCTATTTCCTAGGCCTCTTCAGGTCTCATTGGTCACGTCCTGTATGAGCTCTTGGACGCCACTGGCACTCACTTTCTCTGGTGGGTATGGCACGAGGGCGACCCGGCATACCTTTCGCGCCGAGCTGGTGTAGGTGCAGAAGCTTAGACGATTGCATACTGCGGGAATCAGCATGAAATGTCGGTAGCTGCTCACTTGTTTCAGATCCCCCTGTCGTCGGGCTTCTGGTTCCATGGTCAAACGAGCGCCCTCGGTTTGGTCCACGCCTTGACGAGATATCGAGCACCACTATTCTTCATGATAGGCTCAGTTTTCCTGATGCCGCTACTTTTTCTCATACCGTTCGTGTTGATATTCCATCCACTTGATGACGTCTACGACCAAGCACAACTGGCGACCTACATCGTCGTTTCACTATCAGTCTTCGCCCTTTTGAGAAATGTACGCGAGTCTAAGCCGAGGGCTATGAGCACCCTCGGTCTGGCTTGGTTCTATGTATTCGGGATGGGCGTTCTGTGGGTGGTCTTCTACAACACCGCCGGCAGCAACCTACGATACTCGTACGGTCAACCTTTCGTTAATCGTGATTGTCGAGGAGAGATGGAAGTGGTCGGCTGGGGAACAAATAACCGCGAGCGGTATCTGTGCCCAGTTAAAGTCGACGATGGGGACGTGGCCTTCAACATTAAATGCCTTGAGACCACTCCAGAAGACGGATCTGAATGGTATTGGCTATGTGGCAACGACATTACCACGGATGCTACGAATGAGATTCTTTTACGCTTTGGTAAGGCAGTAGTGCTGCTTGCCTTCTTAGCTTACGTTAGTAGACGGAGCAAGAAGAAGAGTGATTAAGGAGTGATCTTAGTATGAATGGATTGTTATGGCAACCGTATATCACACATATCTGGTATCGTCGTATGTTGTAGAGTACTTAGTATAATGCGGGTTATGGGAATTCCTCCTCGAGAAAGGGAACACATCATCATGTCGATAAGAAACTGATAGTGCAAGTTATGGTGCAACTGAGTTCCGGTCCGCCCCATCATATCGCGTTAGTCATGACGTCATCAGCACGTAGGTGTCGACTTCTCAGTTTGCGTAAGAACGTTTGGTACGAAAATTTGGGAACGAGACGCGGACAACCCTCACGCTTCTGATCTCTCGACCTAGAAAGAAAAAATGTGCTTCGTCCCGAATCGATGAGCCTACTCGCTGTCACTCAATACATATACAGCACCCCACGTATAGTGCGTATGTCCAAGTTTCACATCACTGGCTGTACAGAGGCTGAATGTGGCTGATAAAGCCCGGAACAGTTCAGAAACCTCTACTCTTAAATGGTCAATGTCAATGACCATTTCCCATATTCCGACTTCAGCAAAACCATCACGTCAAATGAATATGAGATGCAGAATACACTCAACATCCCACTTAGTAACACAACCCAAGATAATGTACGATGGAGACTAGAAAATAAACCAGAACAACCATAGGATATAACTTCGTTGCAATGATATGGGGGGAGGAAGCTACTGATGTTCTTGGCATAAAAAGGATCAACACCAACAAATCAGTACCAGTCAATACATAACAGCCGCATACTAATATTATTATTATAAGAAACTTTGACACGATCCGAATAGGATTGTTATGAGGCTGTACACGATAAGGCACCAAGATCTCTCGGTACCGTTAACGTCACAGACTTACTCATCAGTTCGACCTAGCAACGACGCCTTACTGGCGAATCTATCCATGTTCTTCTTCAATTGAGCCATACCTCGGCATACAATCCTGCATGAACGAGCAACAGCCTCACTCTTGAGGTTGGCTTTATCAGAGATGGGATCACTACCACCACCGATAAGAGCGAGAACACAACCAGTCTTGACACCATACACTTGCCCTAAAGTGAAGAGCATGGCTACTTCCATCTCAGAGGCCAAACACCCCAGTTTCTCCAAGACTTCCATGTAGCGTTTGTGCTCAGGACCATAGGGACCAAACTTGAACTCCCTAGCCATGAGGGAATCCTTAGTATGGACCGGACCAGCATCGTAGATCCACTGGGCACCACCCTCAGTATGTTCATCTTCGTCCTCCAGCTCCAACTGCGCAGCGCTGGACATAGCAGTGACAACAGCAGCCGATCCAAGAGCAGGGAACTCGAGAGGCATGTAGTGCCTTGTCGTACCCTCATCACGAATGGCACCAGTAGCGATAACGATATCACCGATTCCGAGAGTCTTCTGCATGGCACCAGCGGTACCAACTCTGACGAGGACCTTGGCACCAAGCTTGATCATCTCAGTGGCGATGATGTCAACACTTGGAGCACCCATACCGGTAGAGATAACACCAATGTCGACAACAGTTCCGTCAGGGGCATCGTACTTGCCAATGTAACCATCATGACCACGAGGAGAGGGAATCACTTCTACATCTCGGAAATAGTTCTCGGCTATATGCTTAGCACGGTCACGCGATCCAGGTAGGATCCAGAAACGACCGAGACCATTGTTACCAAGGCAATGTTCACGACCGACGGTCACATGCATAGGCTTGAAATCAGGATCAGCCATTTTGATGATACGATGAGAACAACAAACTGAGAAAATACAACCATAACCCAGGAGTTTATCCCCGCCAGAACGCAACAATCTGGGATTCATACCAAAATCGGAGAGCTGAACTTTAACAGACTATACAAACGAGCTCAGGATCAAAACATGAGTATTCCCACTCAGATATATGGGAAAAGTAAGGTGTAATAGTAGAGTGCTATAAACATTCGGCAACTACTCACGTAGAATGCCCTATGTAGCTAGTATATGGAAACTTTGGTTAATCACATAGTAGAAGGGGTAACCTCACCTTCGGACTTCTCCTCTAGTGAGCGCATGAACTGGAAGAAGGCGAACTCGCTCGTCTTCAGACCGTTAGAGTAGACAAACTCGTCAGCAATCCAAGTAGCAACCATAGCATTGAGATAAGCCTCGGGGGTGTTCTCGACTATCTTATCCAAACCACAATGAACAAGAAGCAATCTGGGCACACAACGTCTGAGAACAGCACGAACCATCCAGTCATTCTCAGGGTCGTGTTCCTCGAGTACGCCAAGGATGTAAGACTGCATGTCGTTGATCTTCTTAGACAATAAGATGGTGGCATCAGTCTTACGAATATACCTTGATCCATCAGGATACTTCACCTCGTGGTTAGTCTTCCAGATGCCATTGAACTCCATCTTGGCATTATGGCGAACAGCGGCAAGGATCTCCTGTACGTACTGTTCGTAGAACTCAGGAGGAGCACTAGTCTCATCACGAGCGCAAAGGAACTCGTCATGATCAGCCGTATCCATGCTAAGAGCAGCGAACACCTCCATACTGCTAGAAGTAACACCACCCTTGTTAGTGGAAGCATCCTTGAATAGCTGGACACCAGCATCCTCAAGATATCGACGAGCATCATCGGTCAAGAATAAGTTGGCACCCTCCACAACATACTTGAACTTGAGCTCCTTAGTCTCAGGATTGAACATGGTCTTATCAACATTACCAATGTTAATAGTACCGGGACGACCACCACAAGGGATGAAGAGATCAGCAGAGAAGTACTCCATCTCTGGGAAATGATTTCGCACCTCAACCCCGGACTTGAAGTGATCTCCATTAGGAAGAGTTACATCCTTATCATCAATGGTGACCAAGAATGCCTTCGGATCAGATGACAGTTTATCACGAGAGAAGTTGGCAACACCAACTCTGAGATGAGCCAGACGAGTGAGCTCCTCTCTATTCAATCCTTGAGGGTCATAAGCAACACCGGTACCATCACAGATGGCAATTGTCTTGTCTTTAGAGATGAGAATTTCGTTAGAACCAAGATCACCATCGGGACCACCGGACATCACTTTGGTGAGATTAGACTCCTCAACACCCAGCTTATTCAAGAGCTCGACAACGTATGGATGGATAGAGTTGGTGGTCATGGCGTACTTGTCATGAGGAATACCACCGAGGACGGCGGATTTACCGGTAGTTAGAGACTTCCAGTATTTGTAACCACGAGCCTTGGCTCTCAAAGCACCCAATTTCATGAATCCAGCAGTATTCTCATCGGGGCCAAAGAAGAGCATCTCAGGCTTGGAAAGGTTGGAGTGGAGGCCGGTCTCCTTGGCAAGGATGCAATCGAGAAGAGCATCAACATAGCTATTGAAAGCATCACGACCGCTTGTCTTCAAGTTCTGAGAGTCCATATCCATGAGGATGGTACCCTTCGAGCCGCCCTCAGGAATATCCTTGTTCTTTAACTGCTGAGTGAAGGCCAAGTTGTAGTTTTCCTCCAACAAAGTAGCGCAGTTCTTCTTGTACACCTGTCTGTTCCTGGACAGAATGAGCCTGATACCACCACGAGCGATCTCAGTAAATCGGATGTGGAAGCCGTAGAAGCTTCTGCCAACGACCAGATAAACAGCATAAGGGATCCTGGGGAAGAGAGTCCTCGGACGATCGGCCAGGACCTCACCATCAAACCTCATTGCAATGGCAGAAGCTGTACCCGCCTTGAAGAAGTTAGTCATCTGCAGATGAGCACTAAGTTTTAACAAAGTCTTCAAGATCTTCGCATCGAAACGAGATCCAACTTGATCGTCAACCTTGTCAGCCAACTCCTGATTGTAGAAGGGCTTGGAGAGACCAGTGGCAACCTTTTTGAAGTCATCGAACATGGGTAGAGTGAGCTCATAGTTAGAACTAAGAGCATCATAGATCCTCTCATAGGTGATAGCATTAGCCATGGTATCTCTGAATAAACTATCCAACTCACTCTTCTTGGACGGATCATTCTTGAAATAGTCAGCCAAAGCAAGATACTCCTCAGTCTCCTTGGGGAAGAAAGAGAAGATGAACTTGGCAGCAGTAATAAGAAGATAGCATGCTCGGGCGTGATCATATTGTTGAGTACAAGTTCCCACACCAATGCGGA